GTGTCTAGCAAAAACAGAAAGAAAAAAAGGAAAAAGAAAAGAAAATGGCTTTGATTTTTCTTTTCATTATTGTCTTTTTTCTTTTTTCTTTTTTCTTTTGAGAAGTTGTCACTTTATACTTCAAAACAAAAAGTGGTCGAGGCCGGGGACCTCACAATTCTACCCGGTGTTGACGAGATAAAGCCTGCTGGAAACCGGGTCCAGCGTCCCACGACCGCCCAGTCTCAATAGGACAGAACTCAAAATAGCCTTGAGCGGCTGAACTAATCAGTAACAAACCTCTCCAATCCTTCAGCCTATAACATGATATCCTTGCAGCGCAGAAGAAGAAGTACAACGCCGGCATGTTTCTAAAGTCGAAACACTATTGGCAAAGGACTACAAATTATAATCTGCAAATCTCGACAACGCGCAAGGCAATTCACGAGGAATTTTTACAGTTAAAACCCTAATATTATTCCAAAAGCATACTAAATAATCCCAAATTCCAACCCAAACTCGTACCAACTTCAAACTAAACGTGGTGGTATTGTCTCCCGAAAATAAAGGATTAAACACCAACCCATCCAAATTCCATACTAGTAAAAAACAGCCACATATGGAGAGACCAAGAAAATTCCCATACAGAAGAAAGAATATGAATGACTGCGCCTAAAAAGGGGGTGAAAAGAAAACTAGCGATTATTTCCAAGTGGCACAACGTCGAGTGTAGAACACTCCACTCACCGCTCAAGGCATGGGTGACCCTGTGACACCCTCCCTATTCTAAAGGTCAGCCATCCCTCCAAACACGATTAAGGCTGGAAATTAACTTACCTATTGCGCCCGGGCGACGGTCCCACCACCACTAGTAAGCCTCCCACTCCCACTAATGGTGCCGCCACCCCAAGGACTTCAAAGCTGCTCAGACCCATCATGGAACTCATGTCTTTATCGTCTAATTTTCTAGATATTGCCGTAGGTAATTTCATCATCTAAAGGCCACACGTGTGACGCACAACCTCACGCCCTGTGCTGTCTTCCGTTCGGAGTGCTAGGGGTGCGGAAAGGAGGCCCAGGAAAACAGCAAGACGGGGTGTGCCAAGGATTTTTGGAAAATTGAGTGTGGGGACACAGACAGAACTGAAATCCCCCGTGTTGGTCTGATGAAGTGAGCGATCCGGCGGGTTTCGGTGCGCGTGGAACTCGCGACGCGGGGAAGTTTTGAATTCAATCCAAAAAGTATTGTCGGACTTCCCACCGGGCCACACTGCCGCTACAGTTCGTCACTTGGAGTGGAAGGGAGTGGGCACGTGTTTAGTATCCCGTTTTTGCACTATCTCCCGACACCGCACGTTACATAGTTCTGAATCCAACGTGGACGGTCTAAATCGCGTGGCCCTTTCCTTGTGCTCGTCCTCGGTTCGCGTTTGGTAATGGAATCCCTTCAATTGGTAGTGAGCGTGATGCTGGCAATCACTACACAAGGTATTGGGCCATGGGGTGCCACTGCCGACCACGGGATGACGATCAACTCGTTGAAAGGTAGCAGCAGCGAGTATGGCGGAAAGGAGGTATCCACAATGACAAACCCAGCGCCTACGAACCCCGAGCACCGATTTTCTGGAGGGAAATAATACTTCCCACTGATCTTTGCGACAACTTCTCGTATGTCCCATTCACAGATTCGCGTCCTATCCTCATTATACGGGAAGGGGCGAAGAGGGGCTACGGGAGGCTGGCGCCTAGTCAGATTGAGCCCGTTAGTCCACATGGCAAACGATCGGGAATATCTCAATCGTTCATCGTGCGCATGGAATCTAAGCAATCCGATCACAAAGGCCAGATACGAAAAGCAGAGGGTTCGGAGAAGGCAAGACACAACCACTATTTCAGTGTCACGCGCAACTTTCCTTTGAAAACCACAAGCAAAGCATCCTTGCATTTCAAAATCCCAACAACATTGCCCCTGCTACCGATTCATCCTAATCACGAGGGGTTCCGCACTCGTTCATCTTCAGCACATACATTCACTGTGGAAGGTGCGAAAAGAAATGACAATCGTGCAGGGTCCCAACAAGGTTGACGTCMAGGGAAAAAAMCTTGGAGGTTGGTACACGCGCATCCACCGTTCACAAGGCAAACATCCCACARCGCGGGGGACTACCCACGAAATTAATGRAAGAGTTCCGGAAGAAACCATTCAACACAGTCCTCATGCTCATTCCATCACGCGTCAATCTCTAGGTTATTATATGGAACCATTCATAATTGAAGGAAAACACGGAGAGAGAAAGAGGAATAAAAATCGGAGGGGGGGGGTTACACAAAGATCGAGAAATGAAAGAAAGTTCGGCTCTCTTCGTCGCAAGATCACACCAGAGAATAGAGTCGCAACCAACAGGGCGTACTCGCCATTAAATTCCAACACGGCCCTGGGCCAACTATACACTCAACTCAGATTACTTATCCGTATTCT